GAAAAAAATTCTGTTAACAAGGCATGGCATGGTAGCAACTGAAGGTTTTGGGTTTATTTCACAAATGTTGTGCAGTGTTCTGTTTTTCAAAGGAATGTTACCATAGGAAAGGGAAACTGAGGAACAACAGCTAATATGGCACTTTGCCTTAAAATACTGAAGCCACCTCTCCCTGTTTCAAGATCTCCTCCTTTCTAGAACAATGGCATACGACCAGAGCCACAACATCTACATCCAACCACAACTAGCCAGACTGGCTTGAATTCTGAAAGCTTTGTTTCTTTTCCCAAAAAGATTTCAGCATTGTCCTATTTTTACTACAGTAACCTTATTAATGTAACTCTGACCAGTTTCAAAATGAGCAAAATTATGAGAGCGTTAAGGTGGGACTTTCAGCTGCTAAGTACTAAAACCAAATAATTTTCCACTTATCTACAGAATTAGCAACTCAAGATGGTCACAAAAACATATTGAATAGTAAGCACTTGGGATGTGACTATTTTTGGATGTTGCAAATAAAAAAATGGGCTACAATCACCAAAGTAATTTATAGAATGGTGAATTATTGCTCCTGAACTGCAACATTCAAAATGAGGAAAGGGACCAGTCTGATCACCGTAATAGACTCTCAGTCCTCACAGTGATGCTGCATTTTACTGATGAATTCAATTACCTTTGAGGACTGATACGCAACCCAGGCTACTTTGAGCAAAACCTGAAGGTCATAAGCTGTCTGTTAGATCATGTTGTTTCTAAATATTTTATATAATGGATGAAAAAAGACTAAGAATTTTGTCACCATACTATTCATAACGGCCTTTACAGAATTAGCAAAAACTCTTAGTCTTTACAAAAGGTCTCTGCTTGACATCACACACTTTTCTTTAACATGGAACAAAATACCTTTCTGAACATAGACCTACCTAGACTTCTAGCTGGTATTGGCTTCACTATCATAAATTTATTATTGTAGTTCACTATTCACATATGTTAAAAAGTTTGACACAGTTTTATAAATGCAAATTATTATTGTTTAAAACACATGATTCCTATTTAGAAAGGTTGCTGAAAACACTACTTATGAACTTTCAAAGAAAAATCATTTTTGAAGAACAAAACAGAAATTAGAGCAAACAGTATTTCCAGAAGTCATTAGGAGCACCAGGTTCCTTGATTTTGGCTGTCAAGTCTATAACAACACCAAAACCCTTCTTTGCCAAAAGAGGATATTCATCCCTTTCAGAAAATCAGGTGTGTAACATCTCAACAGAAGGGCAAGGTACTCAGAACTCACTAATGACTCTCCTCAGCCACTTGAGAATTTGTTCTGGGCCACCACATCTGTTTGGGAGTTACCCTCACACAGCATTGCTCTGGCTGGGGCAAGAAGCAGCAAATCAACCAAAGGATTATCCAGACAGGCTGGAAAATGAAGAATATTCTGAGTGAAGAGCAGATTCTTGGGAAAACAAAACACATTTCAATGGTGGAGTGAAAAGACTAGTATGGCAATATTATTTTCTATTATCTCAGATGATCTCTTAAGTATTGTAATCCCATAACAAGTATGAATTAAAGCAGTGATTTCAATTCAGTATTCTCCAGAAATCACTAAACCACTCAAGCACTAGATGTCATCAGTATCCCTCACTGGAATGACTGCCTCTGCAAAGCTGTGCAAGGAACCTTATACCTCACTCCTTCCAAGTGAGGGGCTCAGCTCCTGGCAATATTCCATTCATTAGAAACTGTTTTCCAATTCCAGGTAGTTGTGACATAGAGTTCAAATGAGTCTTCAGCTCTTTTAATGAAAATAATTCATAACTGGTGATATGAAACACATTTTTTGTACATAACTATAAAAATCAAGCTTGATGCTCAATATGAGTTCATGCCTCCTAAGGTATTGTCAGGAATACAATAACACCTGAAAATAAAAAACGCAGTCTAATCACTGCTTGACACAAATGGCTATCCAATTGGAGACAGAAATAACAGTCTGATATAATTTTTAACTGACTTATTTAAAACATAAAGTTCCTGGTGGCTTCTGTCAAAGTGGTGGAACCAGCAGAAAGCCATTACCATCATATGCTTAGTACACTTGTGCATCTGCCATGTGTTCTGTAGCACAAAAGAAAAGAAAGCTTCTGAGTTACTGCCACCAACATTTTGTATGATGAATGCCTAAACATACACCCTTACATCCCTATCAAGATATGTGGGTAAGTAGCGTATTTTTACACTCACAGTTCTACATATTCCAAGTTTGACATTTAGGCTTATAAAAATCCTACCCTTTCTCTGAAATCACACAGAATGAATATCTCAATAGTTTCACTAGTATAAAGTAATAATATTTCAATATACTACTCAGTACTATAGCCACACAAAATTGATTTTCCCTGAAGAAATGAATCTCACATCCTGTAAAATACCAGTTTTATCTTAATTTCATTTTAGTTCATTGAGACAAGGAGAATATACTGTTCTTGTAAGACAATTCTTATGACTGAACGAACAAAGAATGAGATTATAAATTAATAACAAGGGGCAAAACATGGAGCAAAGAATCCAATCTCTCTTTTTTAATGAGTTTAAATTGTTTTATGTGTTAAACCTATTTCTCTGAGAAGGCTTGCCATTACATGACTTTGTTAAATACTAAAAATAGTGTAGCATGGTGTCAACATATTTTTAAAATGTTTATTATGAAAATAATAATATCAGTAAGTGCAATAGTATCAAGAAGGCATGTAGCCAGTCTCCTTAGTTTTAATTCTGTTCTAGTCCAAGGATGCTCTGAAGGCACATCTGCCATGTCGGTGATGCTGAAAGTAGAGGCAGCATCATAAACCCTTCTTTCCCTGTAGGGACCGCATGAACGACTGCCTTCCCTTCACAAATGACACTTTCACCAATATTCAATATTCCAATGAAACCCTTACCTGGGATGAA